ACCATCATGGTGGACCAGCTATTCTTGTTGTAGTGAACAGTTGTGTGTGAAATGCAGTGCAGTGTATCTCAGCTGCTCCTTAACAGATAACTGAGAAAGGTCTGGCTGCTGAGTAACTCCTGAGTTAAATAAACAACTCAAAATTGAATTATGCTGCACGCCGCTAAAATAACTCCACGAGGCTGGTGGTTCTGACAAACTGCAGCTCACACTGAACAGCCACTGTCACGATCGTGGTTTACTGCTAGCCTCACATTCAGCTCACCTGCTTGTCTCATGAGCAGACACACGTTTCTCTCTCCGTACTCACCACACACACGCACGCACACACGCACATACTGAATGCTTCTGTAGAGGCTGCCTTACTCCACAGTTTTCTGACAGGGTTTACATTTAGCTTTGTTTTGTCTTGTATTGTGTCCAAACGACCAACATGGCATCTTAATGTATACCAGCTCTTTCTCATCTGAATTCCTCCAGGATTTGAGTCATTTTGCCTCTGTGACTGGAAAGGCAGGGATGAGTAGACCGGAGGCAATTGCAACAGTTTTTGGTTTCGATGTCATCTCTCAAAACCTCTTCAACTATTTGGATAAAATTCTATGTTGGTAACTTGTAACTTGTATGTGATCTACTTGGTAACAGTCATCAAGTACTTTTAAAAGAAATGTAAGAGTCAAAATATTGATTGAAGCACTCAATGTTAAAAGGTTACATCTGCCCTGATGTGCAGAAGCAATTCTAACAGCATATGGGGTATGGCAAGCATTTCATTCAACATATTTGACAACTTCAAAAATATGTGTCGAAAGCTCTCTTCCTGTCAGCAGTTGCACTAACTATCTCAGTGTTTCCCCTACTATTATATTATGTCTCTACGTCTTGACTCCCACAAAAAAAAAAAAAATCTACCCATATCTTATGTGGCTAATGTTTAGTGGTTTTAAAAAACAGCAACTTCAACTCTTCCTCACCCGTGCTCTGAGTCCCAAAATGAGTTCAGCCCGCTGCCTTGTGGAGAGAAGTTGAGGGACCATCTCCGTAACCATGAATACAAATTCCTCAAGCAGCCCATAATCTGTCACAATTTTCTGCTCCACTGTCTGCCAGATGGCTGCAGAGACCAGCCGGATTGGTGGGATTAGGAGGCGCAGAGCAGAGAGGGGAGGCGAGGGACCTGCAAACAGGGAAATGCATTTTTAACAATGTTTAAAAAAGGACACACTAACACCATCACATCAGATCAAGAGTTATTCTGTAAATTGAGAATACACTATTTTATACAAGACAGTATGGGTTCCCCATGTTATTTCTGGACAGAAATGCAGCCACATATATTCAAATGTAATTTTTAATGTTGAGAGCACTACAAACAAAATTCTCTTCATCTCAATGTAACTGGAGCAGCAAAACATGTTAAGTATCTCAAAACCTAGGCAAATAAAACCAAAAGTATCTGTATGAAAAGATGCTAAGTCAGGGGAGTGAGGAAGTCAAGGTGTTATTTATTATAGAGTGTTGATTAAGTGAACCGGCCCATTAAACGGCCTTTAAGGTTGTCAAAAAATTTGCCAGGAATTTCCCTAACAAAACAAGATGGTTAGTGCTAGCTCAGTAACGTCATGAAATAAAAGAATCAGTTTACCAACAAGTTTAAACATTAACGCACACATCTTTAAAGCTAGCGTGTAGCATTTTGCACTATAGGAGCCAAAAGACAGTTGTGTTTCATCCATGTTCCTTGTTTGACGTTGCCCATCTTTGGTGCACCAATCGTAAATCAATAAACTAATAGCAGACCTGCGGTCTTGGTTAATGTTAGAGTAAGGACTTTTGTTTTATTTGGGCAGAACACTTAGATGCCCTGCTCTCACTTTACTTTATACGATCATACGCAAATCCAGCCCAACAAGTCACATGCTTACACTGTAAATATATTAACAAAGACCCAGTATGTCTTTAACATATGTTTTAGGGTTGTCGCAGTTCATTCGACATCAGCAGATACACGTAAGAGCGACTTCCCTGCAGCTAGCGTTAGCGCTAGCAAAATTAGCACAACATTGTATACCCTAGCGATAGCACGTATCCCGAAACTGCTACTAATGTATGTGATGCCACAAACTTAGCTACTCCTCTCCACGGTAGGTTGAGCTGAGGTATCTCAATAGTGGTCTAAATTTAATTTTAATGCGCTGACTGGTGAATTTTGTCCAAAAACCAGTTATTCTGTGACAGTTAGCAATGTTATTCCCGCGCGCGGGCTGCGTTGCGGCCTAGCCAAACAAATGTATAGTCTGTGACCGTTTGTACTCACCAGGTAACTCAGAAACACCTCCGTCCATCCTACACATTCACTGCACTTACATTACACTTATAGAAAGTAATGTCTGTCGCTCGACTGAAGCCGAACTTAAGATTTTCACGGCGGTTGCGTTCAAGAGACTGAAGTAAAACAGGCGATCTTTGTGCGTCAACGGCTGTCTAGCGGTCCTTCCGGATCAACAATCCGACGACAAACAGCGGCGTTTGTTGAGTTCCGCATCTCCCTTTTTGACGTCGTACCCCCCCGCCCCCCGTCTCTCTACTGTTATCCAATAGTCAGTTTTTGCTGTATTCCGTCTTTGATACAGATAAAAATACTTTTGTGCCTCGGTGAAAGCAGATCAAACTGTTAGAAATTAACTACAAATACAAAACACAGATACTGAATTTTTGAAGACAGCTTGCAGGCAGATTTGGAGGCCAGGCAGCATTTTCTGTCAATTTTTTGGTTTCACTTTGATAATAAAGTATATTTTCTGGTCATTGTTGTCAAAGAATACAAATTAAAGTCAACATGTTTGAGTATTGTGGAATTTTTCTTGTTCAATTTCAGCTTTAAATGTCTCAATGTATGTCAAGGAAAAAAGAAAAACAGAAAACATTGAACAGAAAGGCAGATCAGATTTGACTGATCTAATGCTTAAAGAGTACTGCACCAATTTAGCATTTTACCTCAGTAACATTGTTGGCCTCATGATGGACACATTTTTATTTTAATTATCAAAATCGATGCTGCACAATCAGAGATAGACTTATTTTGTCCACATATTCTTTTTTCAAGATTCAGGTGTGTAACGTTAATGTTGGTGTGCTGATCTCTGCTGCAGGTTAGAGCCTCAAGGCTACATTAGGCACTACTAACATTAACTAACACTAACCTGATTCTTTGACTGAACTCTTGGTCACATTGCATTGTAGGTAATTTGGGTTCCAGGTTTTGACAAGGAAGAATTTGTGAAATAGACGCTGTCTTTGGTGCTGATGCATCTATATAGAACATTTTAGAATGAAAAGTTGAATGAGGCATTCACTGGCCAAGCTTGTGTTAGTGCAAAATTCCTTAATTGTTTGTCTCAACAATAGAATAAATTTGTCTGATAAAGTTGTTAGCAACCATTACTTCTGAGCCCCCTTGTAAACACAAACCTGTTTGTAAACTTCTGTAGGTTTTAGAGATTCTCTACTTGTGAATTACACTTGGAATGGGCATTTTAAGCAATTTCCTTGTACAAACATTAAATTGATATAGAGAACTCAAGTACTCTAAAAAAAAAAAAATCTAACAGAAGAATAGGAGTGTCAACTGGACAAAAACAGAAAACCAGGTCAATCTGAAATTCTTTTATTGAACAACCACATCTCAATTAGCCTGTTAAACAATGAAGTCAAAGTTAGTATCAGAAAAATCAGTCAATTTTGTGTTGCTGCCATTACATAGGTTAGAAGCAGTACTGAAGGACCATCTTCTTAGCCACTTTCTTCTTCTGGTCAGGACTTCCAAAATTTCCCATTTGTTTGTAAGCCAGTTTCTCCGATAGCCATTTATTCTTAAACAATGCTCATTGCTCCAAAGTCCTGTTAATCCAAAAATACACACTCCCTGCAGTTATGCAATGTTTTTCGTGTCACATTTGAAATAAAAAAAAATGTCAACTAGAGTTATCTTTAAGTTATATTCCTTTCATCTGCACCGCGGCCTCTCTACCGTTGTCTGACTTCACTCTCATGTTTGTGTGTGTCTGCGTGTGTGTGGAGGAGGTCAGCATGCAGAGAGCAGGAGAGAGTCTGCAGCATGATGATACATAAAACCAAAACTTTAAAAAGTAATGATAAAAGAGCAGATAGTGGCAGAGCTAATTAATACTACTGTCTTGATTCATTTTGCCCCGGGCTGTTTAATGCCGGGTCTCAGTACCAATTCCTAGCCAGGCCACTCATAGGTTGCTTCTGGGCCGGATGTGGACCGCAAGCCGCCAATTGAATAAACCATGAAGATGTTACATTTGTCAACAATTCTGTGGTGAATGTGCAGTTAAGTTCAAGTACAAAATCCACTTGGTTATAGGTAGGAATAGATTGTGTTTTGGCTTTAAACACCCACACACAAAAGTTGCTGGAAAAGCAGGGTGAAAAACATCTAGGTTCAGCGCCTCAAACGCTGCTGGAAAACACCAGGATGTGCTGCTAAAAATGTCCAGGTTCAGCGCCTCAAACGCCGCTGGGATACGCCACGTAGGGTGGATAGAAACACCCAAGATTGGTTGCTCAAACGCTACAATGAAACTGAAACTAACTGCAGTGAGAAATGGGACTTAAGAGCAATGGGCATTTGTTTCGGGAATAATGGGCTGTCAGAGAAATGGTCCAATGGGACATTATTTGGACTAATGGGCTTTAGAATTTTGGTCCACTGGAACAATGGCATGGCACCATACAACATCATCTTAGTTAGCACAAGCTTACACAGAAGCAGCAGCTAACATCCAACACAGAGATGTTAAATGGTCCCAACAAACCCACACGGAAACGGCTCAACTTTGTTGTTACACCCATTCAGAACCGTTAGCTTTATTTCTTTAATAGTTTAAAAAAAAAAAAAAAAAAAAAAAGTCATGTTCACATGTGAAAGGTTAGGCAGCTATTACTCTATACATTAAGTACCGGAGTACTCTATCAATGTTTCTGCCATGCATTTTTAATGCTTTTCAAAAGTATGTACAAGATTTTTGTGTCTGTGCATGCTGTAGAGCTTAAGGAAGGCCTTGCCACAGATATGGCAAACAAATGGCTTTTCTCCTGAGTGTATTTTAGCATGTGCGTTGAGATAACACATTTGTATAAAGCCCTTACCACAGACACCACATTTATATGGTCTCTCTGTACTATGATGCAAGAGGACATGCTTCTTCACTTCAGCAGTTGACCTGAAGTCCTTGTCACAGTCAGGCACAGTGCATTTGAAAGGTTTCTCTCCTGTATGGATTAATTTATGTCTAGCCATTGTTGATGAAGAGACCATCTTCCCACAGTATGGGCACGGATGACGGAACAATTCATTTAAGTGTTTGGTCCTCTGGTGTTTTTTCAGGGATCCTTTCTCTTTAAAGGATTTCTCACACTCGCTGCAAGAATACTTCCTCTCATTTCGAGACTCACTGTGAATGAAATTCAGGTGTCGCATGAAGTTGGACTTCTGGGCGAAAGTCTTACCGCACTCTGCGCACAGGTAGGGTTTCTCTCTGGTGTGGACTCTTTCATGGGAACTGAGATCTCCATCAGTTTTGAATCTCAAGGCACACTGAGGGCACTGGAAAGGTAGATGGCCCGTATGTTTCCACTCGTGTGCGATCAAAATTCGCAGCTTGGATACCGTTTTCGGGCAATAGTTGCATTTAAACGGCATGCTGATTTTATGGATGTTTTGGCAATGCCTGAGCAAGGGTTTGAAAAGAGTGAACGTCATGTCGCAGCGGTTACACTGAAACAGCGTGTGAGAAGCCTTGTGCCTTGCCAATGTTGCTGCATCTCGTAGAACCTTCCTACACACATTGCAGTACAGTTTATTGTGTGTCAGTTTGTGCCTTTCAAGAGAAACTCTGTACCTGAATGCCTCTTCGCATTCCTCACATTTGTAAAGATTCTTAGCTTCGTTCGGCTTCTGCGGATCTATCTGTTGTCGGCTGTACTCGAAGCAGGTTCTATTCAAGTGGAGCTTCAGAGATGAGAAGAGTTTAAACCTGCTGTCGCATCGAGGGCAGGCGTAATCACCGGTGGGAAAGTGGGTTTTCATATGAGTTCTCAGGTTTGTGTTGATGTGCTCCTTGCAGATAAAACACAGGGTGTTCCGAGTCTTTTTTGAAGTGCTGGCTTTGATGTCAGAGATGTCCCGCTTTCTGCTGTTAGCTGATACATTTTTAGAACCCATGAAGGAAGGGTCCTCATTTGAGCAGCTAGACAGCAAATCACCTTCAGAACTACTGTCAGGAGTCACAAAGGAAGGCTCATCATCCGAGTAGCTGGACCAGGAATCAGCCATACTAGGGCCACTACTTGAGGCCTTATGGCAAGAGTTCTCATCAGAGTAGTAAGACCATGAATTGTCTTCACTGCAATGACTGATAGGAGCCATATACGTGGAGTCGTCTTTGCCAAAGCTGCTTGACACCTCATTGTCAGGGATGTGTAAAATAGCCCCATTGGAGGGTTTTGTTTTCCTAGAAGGTGATTTGTAGACCTCGTCACAAAGACCTTTTTTCTCTTCCAACAGAATCTTTTTCATCTTCAGGCCTCTGTTTCGTCTCACAGGTCGAGACTGCAAAGAGTTCGGCATGTCCAGTCTTTTTAGTTGAACACGGCATTGTTTTAGAAGGCCAGTTGCATCCTCCACTTGACTCTGAGGAAGGCCTACATTTTCTTCATGTCTTGTAATGTCTCCAAAAAGCATCTCTGTTACATTTTCACCAGGAGTCCAATGAGAGTCATCAACCTCCATCTCACTTGTCTGATCTTCAGCTGTGTCTATTTTTATCTCTGTTGTATGAGACAATGTTAAAGATTCCTTCTCTAAATCTGACGCATATGATAGCACATTATCCAAGACGTTGGCTTGGGGTTTATCTGTCTCGGTTCTTTCTCCAGAGGGAAGTTTGAGAGCTGAAATAATGCAGGCGCCATCCAAGGAACCATCTGAAAAGAAAAAAAAACATTGCAATAAAATGGTGAAAAAGATTACACTGACACCCACTGTAAATAAACACTAATCTTAGTGTTAGAGAGTCAATCCCCCAATCCCAAATGAATCCCTTACAGACTTGTTGACTCAAGTCCTAAGCCCTTACAGACCTAGGACCAATTCCATTTCTTCCCCTTAGCCCTTGTCTTGGCCCTTCCCCTTGGTTTTGCGCGTTCATGTGAGGGGAAGTGGTGTCCCAATTCTCCGTTAGCTCTTAACCTGATGGAGAATTGTGACACCAATTCACATGAATGCGCGAAACCAAAGGGAAGGGCCAAGACAAGGGCTAAGGGGAAGAAATGGAATTGGTCCAATATATTTTCACATCTAACCAGGTGAATTAAGGGTTTCTTTTAACCAAACCAGAGTTGGTAACTGTTGGAACAGTGGAAAGACAAACCAAGACATTTTTGTGAGTTTTATTTGTTTTTTGACTTTGACTTTGAATGAAGTGTGTTCTACTATGATAAAATCAGTGTTTATTTAAATGGAGTCTGGGGGGCTTGGCGATGACGATTTCAGGGCTTTTCTGTTTGAACAAAAAGGATCTTACTTTTTAACAAAAAGGTCTATCTCTGTAAAGATCCTTTCCATAATGTTGTCAGGCACTTGAATAATAATCTGAGCCTGTCAGTGGCAAATACAGGCACTATTGGTGGATGTACATTGACGATGCACAAATGTCCAGAGTGATTACAATGCAGCCTGTTTCGCTGCTGCCGTCTGTAGCCCTCTCGATCAGTCCTGGACCAATTTCAATAATTGTTGTTTACATTAGTCTCTTAAACACAAAAACATGGGAACATAAGCCCCTTTTCCACCAAACACTTCGGTATGGTACTTTTGGAACTAAAAGTAACCCTTCAGACATGGTTCCTAGACCCTATGTCCGTTTAGTGTTTCCACCGCAAACAGTACCCTGAAAAATACCAAAGTTACTTACTTACTTACTTACAAGTAAAACACTACTCCATGAATGTGCTCCTGTATTGTGCTATGATATACTATTCCACCCCTAATGGACACCCATTATACTTCCCAGCACCACAGCAAAGGTCAAATACGGGCCAAGTGTTGATGTTCTCAAAAAGTACAATGCTGAGGAAGAGACAATATTAAAGACTTCAGTTATTAAAAGGAATTAGTAACTATAAATGCTTGCCATTATGATCCAGTTGGCTGAGGTCTTTTTGATACTGCAGTAGGGTTTTGAGCTCCTCACATCGAGACACAGAGTCCATACATTCCTCCAGAACTGAGGATGCCTCACCAAACTTGGAGGCAACCTTAAGACAATGAAAAGGAAAGGAAAAAATAAAAGGTAAGAGAAATGTATAAAAACACCAAACTATATAAAAAAAAACACCTATAAAAACTAACGACTATAAAAACACCAAAGTTGAAAGTAGGGCTGGGTGATATATCAATATAGAATTGATATCATGATACAAAACCAGATATCATCTTAGATTTTAGATATTGTGATATCATAAGTCATTTCCTAGTTTTAAAGGCTGCATTACAGTAAAGTGATGTTCCGACTCTTAGAGCTGTTGCCTTCATCCTGAGTCATTATATCCACATTACTGATTATATTTATCGAGAATCTCATTGTGTAAATATTTTGTAAAAGCACCAACAGTCAACTCTAGCATGTCTTTGCAATATCAATATTGAGGAATTTTGCCAAAAAAATATTGTGATATCAGATTTTTTTCCCCCTATATCGCTCAGCCCTAGTTCAAAGCTAGCCCATAATGATATCAAAATGACCTTGTATTGTAACATTTTTTGTCTGTTCTTTATATACCTGTTGGAAAGTCTGAAGGGGAAGAAACTGTTCAAGTCTGGACAGAAACCTCCACATCAAGGTGTGAAGTGCGTCATCATATGTGGGACCAAACTCTTTGGGGAAAACATTCTGCAAGACATGACATGTTATATTTAGATTTTCAAAAACTGGAAAACACTTGAAAACTGCAATGACTGAGGTCAATAAAGAATCAGAAATACAGGATTTTAAAGATGCAAAATGCAAGGGGAGTACTCTGCCTTTAACAGTACACAATTATTCAATATGCATTACAGAGTCACGTTTGGTATACCTTATTGTCCGTCCCTTCAAGGTAATGGGTTGATAGTAATACGCACTCAAAACAAGGCTCACTCCATTAGTTTGACTGATTTTATTTAAAGGTCCAGTGTGTAGGATTTTGGGGGATATATTGGTAGAAATGAATTAATATGATATTCACGACTATGTTTTCTACAAAAATAGAATTCTATTTCTACGATGATTTATTAGTGTGTAATCATCTCAAACTAAGAATCACTGTGTTTTTGTGACCTCAGAATGAGCCATTTATAACTACATGCATAGTGGGTCCTCTTTAGATTCTGCCATGTAGTTTCTACAGTGGCCCAGAATGGACAAACCAAACACTAGCTCTAGATTGGGCAATTTGCATTTCTGCATCGGCCACCATAGTTCTCCTATATGCTTGACACAGAAAAGTTTCAGTTGGTTACAATCTGCAAACTCACTGCTAGATGGCACTACATCCTACACACTAGACCTTTTAATCATGAATCTGGATGACCTTTCAGCACTTCATTTTTATTTTCATAAACAGATCAAATTTGAGGTAGGACAGTAACACTGACCTGAAAGAAGTGTTCCCTTTCATCAGGATTTTTCAGCAGCTTTTTAACCAGATCCACAAATTCTGGGTGTGGCACCTCTTGATTAGCATCACAAGCCTGCATATCATGACGTGAGCATGATACAGAATTGATTGCATTGTCCAGTGTATGGTTTTTAAAGACACATCCATCTGATTTCTTACAAAGTCAATCAAAGTAACAACACTATAAACTCACCTCCATTACCCATGAGTCAATGAGCGTGTGCACTCTGTCCAGGTGAGGACGAACATTCTCAAAGTCAGCAGTAGCTTCAAACTGACATAACTCCAAAATTAGCTAAAACCACAAAGCAACAGTGTTACACAACCATAGTGGCAGAAAAAACACTTCCTCTAAACCTCTAATTTAAAACACACAGCTGCAACAGTTTACATATTGTTTAGTTTAGTCAAGTCTACAAGCTCCAGTATTTCAACATGTATTTTTTGAAAGCATTTTTGGATTGACAAGAGAATTAACAGTTAATTCTTAAAATAAATTGTCTTGAATGTTTTTCAATCTTGGAGAATTCAGACACTAAAGCAGCTTCAATAACACAGTCACTATGTTCAGAATTTTAAAATGTTCTTTCACAGCAGCAGCAGTTAATATATGTGAATTGTTAGTGGTTAATAATCGAGCAATGCTCCTCCTCACCCGTGCTCTGAGGCCCAGGATAAGTTGGGCCCTCTGGCGAGTGGACAGTAGCTCTGGAACAATGTCTGTAACCATGGAAACAAACTCCTCAAGCATCCCATAATCAGTCACAACTTTCTGTTGGACGGTCTGCCATATCGCTGCGGAGACCAGTCGAATTGGTGGGACCAGCAGTCGCAGAGCAGAGAGAGGAAGAGGGGTACCTGGATGTAAACAGCAGTGGGTCATTTCATCACCAATGGTTGTCTTGACTTATTGTTACTTCATCTTTTTGATGTTGTTTTGGGTTTTATATTAGCTCCAAACACTAACAGACACCAGATCAGTATTAATAAATATACATTACTTGTTCAAAGTGTGTGTATTTTAACTTCAATAGGCTTATTACTCCAAACAGCGTGTCACGTGGCTTGCTTCATATGTTTAGAGGAAGTCTATTTTTGAAAAACAATCTAATATCCTTGTTTACTTTTGGCACTTTTACGCCAACTGATCCATTAAATTGAACTCAGCTGTAACATATAAGCTGTCACTTCATTCAGTGATGTATTTAAACTACCAATTCAACTTCTTTCAGTGATACAGATGGGTGATGAATTAAAAGAAAACCTGTGTCTTAGTAAGGTGCTGGGCCACCACGTGCCACCAGAACAGCTTTAGCGCACCTTGGCATTAATCCACAAGTCTCTGGAACTCTACTTGAGGGATGGAGCACCTTTCTTCTGAAAGATATTTCTTTTCATTCATTAACTGTAACTGCTTGTCCTGTTCAGAGTCACAGGGGGGCTGATATGACTGACATTGGGCAAGAGTCGGGGTACACCCTAGAGAGGTCGCCAGACTATCAGAGGGCTAACACAAACAGATTGACAACCATTTATGCTCACGTTCACACCTACAGACAATTTAAAGTCATCTTTGTGTCTTTGGACTGAAGAGGGAAGCTGCAGAACCCAGAGAATAAACCACAATGACACAGGGAAAACATGCTAACTACACACAAAAGGGACCAGGTGAGCCTCCGGGTTCAAACATAGAACCCTCTTGCTGTGAGGCCACCATACAAATCAAAATATTCCCTCATTTGGTGTTGTGATGATGGTGGTGAAGAGCACTGTACACATCAGTGCAAAATCTCCCATAGGTGCTCAACTGAGTTGAGATCTGGTGACTGCAAAGGTCATAGCATTTGACTAAGATAACTTTCATACTCACTGAACCTTTTAGTGACACCTCGTGCCCTATGGATGGGGGCATTGTCATCCTGTCCTACTCAGTTATTCAGGATTTTCCAGTAATTTGTCACCCATATGTTCAAACTGCCACCTCAGCATCTTTCAGCTTTGACAACTTCATCCCCATTCATATCTTCAGCTTCAGTTATTGCTGTAATGCAGCAAAATCTCAACATTTTAGACAAATTTCACTCACTGTTACGATTTTATATTCAATGAAATGAGGCTTCTTCATACTCTTATGTGTAATAACCATAACATTAGCTGAAAACTACACAGTACACAGATATTGATTTAACGTTACCTGTCAAAATATGTTACAGTATGGAACAACAATAAAACAAAATTCAAGGCCGATATTAGCTACAAATACTTTCTTCGTCTAAATATCTATCATGTATATGACATCATTCCTCCATGAGAATAAGTGAAGTAGCTTAACAGTTAGCTAACTCGGCTAACTATAAGTTAGTCAGTGTTTCCAGCGGTAATAATGAATAGATACTCACAAATAACGTTATCCTTTAAAATATTATTTTCCATCCTGTGTATCCACTGCACACAGATAGCGTATGTTGTGGCACAGATTTATTGATGAAAATAATTTCTCCTCCTTCTAATGCGCGTTAAAGTTGGTAATGTTTGGTCCGACTGTGTTTTTGTTCCGGGTTGGCCAGGTTGACGGTTCCTAGCTGAAGTCATGTAAATTGTTGTACTGTCCAGCCCCGCCCGACCAACCCAGGTCAGCGTCTTATCACAGACACTGGGTTTTAATCTCGCTGTTGACAGACAGCAGATTTTTAATATGTGTTTCATGATGCTGGAGAGAGTACATGACGTGCGGAACCTTTAAGACATTATCTTTGTTTTAAGGTAAGCCCTATTTTGTATTGAACCAGTGTGACACTGGTATGGAACCCCAAAGTGTTCAATATGTAATAAATAAATGTGTATTTATAAAATTAAATCATGAATTAATTGTTAAAATGTACAAATGCATATTTCAATAAAGCAATAATTCGTGAAATGATTATAAGAAATTATTCAAATTCAACTAATTTTTATACTCACTTCAACCCAGTGTAATTTCATCATTCCTATTTTCATAATGACAGTTTTATAAGATTTATTTTTTCCAAGAATAATGCAGTTTATGTGACGATTCTTTTATTTCATGTCATTTTTTATTTCATAAGTCTTCCATCCCCCGTGCCTCTTAAGCAAGCAAGTTTTAACAACAACTACCAGATTTAGCCTGTTAGCTCCTGTTAGCAATAACAATAATGATGTCAAAGTAAATCCAAGTGAACTACTACTGTCGTAAATAAACACGGACACAAAAATTAATACAGTGCCAATATAGTGTATAAACATGGATTTTTTAAAAGGGCAAATTCTGTTTATATAAAAAATGAATGATGAAACAGCACTTTATAGAATGACTTAAGTTTTGATAATTTTTTCAATAATTTCACATAGGATATATATTTTCCATACAATGTATTCATATAATTATTTATTTTATAATGTTTTATTTTTTTGATATTAATATTTAGGGTTCCATACATGGCCTCTTGTATTGAGAGAAATTAGTCTCAAACCTAATGACAAATGCATGATCCACAAATGAAAGAGATAAAGATTTACCAATATGGATAATTTCACAGTCGCATTCTGTAGACATCTGTGAAAGTTTGTTGCATTTATTAAGAGATTATTGAATCTGCGTGCACAGATCACCTAATGTTTAGATCAGGTTCCATTTGTTTGAGGAGTTTTGAGACTCTTTACTGCCTCCGTGAACAGATTATCTCCATACACTCAGCCAGTCAATGTGGAAGCTGTAATGTCAATTTCAAAATTGCACTTATATAGTCTTTTTTATGAACTCAAACATAGCTTAAAATGAATTAATAAAATTGTTCAAGATTGCATTTTTACAGCTGTCACAATTTTCTTAAAAGGAACTTCACTGATTTTACACATGAACATGTGTTTACAGGTGTTAGGGAGAACTACTGCATATGTGAAGAAGTATAAAGCCTTAAGTGTCTCCAAAGGCAGCTATGTGAAGATTGATGTAGTGATGTCACTTGAGTCAGCATCGGTCAGGTCTGAAGACTGTAAATTTAAAGGTGTCATAGAACTGCTTTGAGCTGGTTGTATTGCCACTGTAAATAAGAGTTCATATTATGTTACACATGTCACATCTTCTACATATAAAGTACATCCTTAAAGACTGACTGTGAACACCTCTTCTACTGAGGTATACTGCAGAATGCAGCTATACAGCAGCTGCCATTTCTTCTGTTTCTTTTTGGGTCCATTAAGAAAAGTGTATATCCAGTCGATAGTTTATGTATGTAATCTGGCAACACTTGCATATGCAAGTGCATACATTATTCATATTGTACTGTGTACAAAAGTTCTATAAAACTGTGGTTCTCTCTCTCTCTTTTTTATGTGTGTGTGTCAAAGACCCATAAATTGATACACCCCCATTTGATAAAATTTTGCCTCAGGGACCTCCATGTGAAATGATTCTATAAATGTCAACTACAGTTATGGAAATAATCATGGAGGAAGTGAAACCTATGATCAGAATAGTCACTCTTATGGCTGTTAGAGTGCTTTTCATTTTGCCACTGTGTCTCCTCTTCCTTCACTCGCATCTTTTCATGTCCTGGCTCCTCCTGAGTGAGGATGTTAGAGATGTGAGGAAGAGACATGTAGGATAGACCTGTTTCCTCACTCCAAGCAAGGAAACAGATCTATCCTAACAGCTTAAATACACCTCCTTGGGTAGTATTCAAGGGATTGGAAGATCCTCCATGATCTTCTCCATAAGACTACATTAACTGCTACTAGATTATCACAATCAAAACTCACAGAGTTGTAGCTGGTCAAGTTGAACTGTGGGTAATGTAGGCAACAGATTTTAACAACAAAGAATGTGGCTCTGATGCAGCGATTTGGACCTTTTTTTTCAATTCTCCATCAAGAGTCCAGCAATGTCAAAGGGCTGCAGTATTATATTTCTGGACTATTTTAAAATCATTGTAACCAAAGCATTGAGACAAAGGTTTCCCATAAATTCTTTATTTGTGGTGGCAACATCATGCAAAAGCTCTGGGAAGAAACTAAGAGGAAACTTGGAATGATGCATAAAACCTAAAATGTAAGCAGATATGTCTCGAGAACTATGCAAGAATCAGTGTAACAGTGTTCGTAGGACTGTGCTCCTCTCTGACAGAGAGACTTAATTCTACTGCACAACTACAAACCGTTTATTGGAAACCCAGGAGAAGGTAAAACATAAATACATCTGCACCTAAGAGAAAAATTGAACACTTCACTTCTGTTGTGATAATTCACATATAGCACAGTGAATTCACTCATCTCGAACATTTAACGGAGCCATCTGAAATGATGGGCTGGGCAATGATGTATACTTACAGGCGATGAGGGGGTATTCAAATTAAGAAAGTCATTTACAGTGATGCGAGACCATTGGCATCCTGTTTCAACCCTTTACTTTCATTCACACAAAAGCAACTCATACCAATTTCGAAGGCATTCAAACAAAAAAAATGTTTGAAAAGAGAATGTTAAATTATGGCATCTACATTCAATTAATATTCTAACAAGGGCATGGGGGACTAAAATAGATCGTCTTTATACATGGGAATGCATAGTGGTCAGAAATAGAAGAGCAGAACATGAATAATTTGACCACCAAAGTTCTGAGGATTCAACAAATTCCTCCCAAAATTGATTCAGGAAAAACAAAGCACATTTATTTCGATTGCAAATACTATTACAAACGCTTGAGTCAATAACATCCCACCACAAGAAGTCCGCTTCAATATCATACAGTGCCAAATCATAGGCAATTTTACATCTTCAGCTCTTATTCACCAATGTGTCAAATCTTCATAGCACACATTTTGCTGTAGAAAACTTTTCTCTCATTTTTTTTCTTCTTCCTTTATACAGAGTAATAAAAAAAGTTAAGGCAAGATGCATCAAACAGAAATCCGAAGGCCATGGACCAGCCTCTGCAGGTGTTCTGATTCCACCGATTTGGGATCAGAAGAAGGTGCAGTCAGCAGCTCCCATTCGCTCTCTGTCTCAGGCATCTTACACTGGCGGGAGGGGAAGAGGAGGAAGCGGTGGTGGAGGGTGGGGTGGGGGCTGTCAGAGGTGTCCGCTACCAATCCTCCTCCCCTCCGATGCCCCTCTATGAGTCTGCCAATACGCTCCTCTTTGGCACTTAAGCTGGCAGACTCAGCTTCTTTCCTTTCAGTACTGAAACGAGACAGGAAGGCGTTTTGTTAACACAGTGACAGATGGACAGCATGCATAACAGCAAGAAAACAGAATGATGGAACCGCAGGTTGTCATCAACTTTATTTATTGTTTCATCACCCACTACCACAACAAAAAGCCTTTATGAAATGAAACACCAATGCAGCAACACTCACCTTTTGTTACATACAAATAGAAGAAGTCGCAGTAGAGGATAGTCTGCACCACCCCAGCCACGATGGCAATCATGTCAAAGAAACCCTCAAAGTAGAACCTCCATATCCAGTTGATGAGGTAGAGGGCTCTGTAGAGTCCCAGGAAGAACAGGTAGTGGGTGGTGATGGTCTCAGCCTCACCAGTCTTGCTGATCATGAAGAGCTGTGGCAGGATGGCCACCGACTCCAAGTAGATGGAGAATGTCCACAGAATCTGGGCAAAATGAAAAGAGAGTGTGTGTTGTTTGGGAAATAATGGGTGGCTGTCTGAGAAGGGAAAAGAGCACCGTTGCGTATTGACTGAATTCAAATACATTTGCATAAAGATGTTTATCATTCCCAACTGCACGATATGCCTGTGTGAAACAATCCTGCTGGAGCACTGCACTAACAAACTAGCTTTACTGTGTAAAGCTTCAGGCCTATAGTCGGTACACCAATGGTATCTTTTTGTGTGCATCATGTATTTCAATTAGGACATGCAATGCCCAGTGCAAATAAAGTTAAGAGACAGAGAGTGTAGTCAGTGTGTTGCATTAGCCTGGCATGCACAATCATTTTTCGGAAAGTGTTGTCACTTAGGGTTGCACAGCATAAGATTTTCACAATATGATAACGATCTCAAAAAATATCAGTTTCACAATATATACAGTATTACTATTATTATATACTGTATTATTATTACCATTATTATTATCAGTTACAATGACCTTTGAAAAAAAAACAAAGTTTTTTTGGTTAAACAAATGCTTGATTATAACTGAAACTTTAAACTATTTCATTTAATTGGAGTCTGTGTAAAACATCTGACAGGTAGCTGCGGAGGAAAGGAGATATGCACACATGAGTGAGAATGTTTGTGGTTAACACGAGCTTAAAATATATTCAAGCTTTGTTCTACAACATAAAATACATAAGTAAATACCCCACTTGTCGATTTTGAAGCCTTTACAGTCTTAAAAAAGGTGGTTGCGAACAAGTGGCTAAATGAGACTGCAGAACATCATCAGGCTTTTACAGCAACTACAACTTCATTCCTGCAGCACTCCATATTTTGGTGATTTCAAGATTGATTTAGGATTGGGCAGTACTATGGTATAACAGAGTATTTAGAAA